TCTCCCTCCCTCCCTCCCTCTCCCTCCCTTCCTCTCCCTCTCTCTCTCTCTCTCTCCCTTCTCCCATTTGTCTGCAGTTCCAAAGCAATGCATGAGAAATCAGGGCTCATGCACAACCTGGACAAGCTGGAATCCTGGCACAAGGAGAAGAACTTGGACTCTCCAAATGGCAGGTAAGCAGGGGGCCTCACTCCCGCTTGGCAGGAAGGCCAAGCCCCTGGAGCAAGGCCAACCTTTGTCTTGGGGGCATCCCTCAGCTGCCTTTCCTGACGGGTTGCCAGCACACTCAGCTTGGCACAAAGACGCAGGTTGAAAGATGTCCTCCTGGATACAGGTAGACCTCCACTTAACGACCACAATTGGGCCAGGATTTCGGCTGCTAAGCAAGGCGGCTATTAAATAAGTTTGTGGCCCCCTTGTTGCCATGGTTGTCAAGTGAATCATTCTTAAGTGTAACGCAGAGTCATTAAGCGAATCCAGGTTCCCACATTGATGCCTATGGAGATTCTCAGTCCTCCAGGTCAGGAGTCTCCAACCTTGGCAACTTTTAAGACTTGTGGACTTCAACTCCCAGAATTCCTCAGCCAGCTGAGGACCTCTGGGAGTTGAAGTCCACAAGTCTCAAAGTTGCCAAGGTTGGAGACCCCCCTGCTCCAGGTCACGTCCCAAAGGTGTTTTTTTTTTCAAGAGGCAACTGGACTTTCTGGGTGTTTTTTTTTTCCTTTGAAGACATTTCGCTTCTCCTCCCAAGAAGCTTCTTCAGCTCTGACTGGGTGATGGGGATGCTGAAGAAGCTTCTTGGACAGGAAGCGAAACGTCTTCAAAGGAAAAAAAAAAACAGAAAGCCCAGTTGCCTCTTTTGAAAAGCACCTTATTTCCCCATTGCTTGTTGGAAGCTAGCGATCCGCTGCTCTCTGGGATGCTGCGACTTTCATAAATAAATGCCGATTGCCCTGTGTAAGGACTGGTCATAAGTCCTTTTCTTTTTTCAATTACAAATTTTATTGATTACAATATTGAAAAACATTGAACTTGATGGACTCCATTGACATAAATTGTTGTCCTTACACCTCGTACAAGATCTTATGTACCTGTATATACGTTAGGTCTTTATATATCTTAAGCCCTTTCGGTTACGTGTCAGTTGAATCCTTCACCACGAACTCCCTTTCCATTCCCTCCAATAATAAAATTCATTCTGTATCGTAGAGTAATCAGATTCATCTTTATCTTTCATTTCCAAGGTTAATCTATCCATTTCAGTACAGATCAAAATCTTATCTCTCACCTCATCTTTACTAGCCTTCCATTTCTGGGCAAACACCATTCTTGCCGCTGTAATAACATGGATTATTAAATATATGTCATATTTACTATACGTCACTTTTTTTCAGTGTGGCTGTAAAGTTGAATAGTCACTAAACGAACTGCTGTAAGTCAAGGACCACCTGTAAACCAACACTGAATGGTGCTCCTCGGAATGGAACGTTATTAAATCTTTGTTGGCAAGTCAGCATTAAGGTCCCAAAGGAATACAGACCAAACAACAGCTGGTGTGTTTGATATTTGTGTGTGTTTTAACTTTCGGGCATGTGTATTTTTTAATACACATATCTGATGTTTTCTCAGCATAAATCATAACTTCAGGGAGTCTAGGAAAATCACGATTACGGATACTGGGAAGGACAATACTTCTCGAAAATCTTTTCCCCTTCAAAGTCCTCTGTTATCCTGGAAAGGAGGCTGAGAGTTGAAGAGAGATTGTGCCAACTGAGACACAAGTACCCAAGAAGATGGTAGACTGTCCAACTCAACAACGCAAGCATTTGAATGTCCCTACCGCACACACACACACACACACACACACATAATTCTGAAGACCTCCTTTTCTGCATTCTGCATAAAGACTCAGTAACCTCCCTTTTACTGAAAAAGGTCCATGCTGGCCACACTGCCCAACCCCATTGCTGATCTCGACGTCCTGTGTGTGGTGGCTTCATGTGTCATTTTCTTCTCTGGAAGGATAGCATTCAGCAAACATCCCGTTCCTCCATCTGGGAGCTAGCACCGTGAATGAATTCTTTCCCCAAAACTTGTCTGTGAATGGGTATCAGCATGAGACTCATTGATGTACCGTATTTTCCCCAAAATAAGACCCGGTCTTATATATTTTTTTTTCCACCAAAAAAAGGCACCAGGTCTTATTTTCGGGGGATGCCATCTACTCACTTGTGCGCGTTGCCCCTGGCCTCCTTTTCGCTTTCAGAGGCCTTTAGGAGCTGCTTCTGCGACCATCAAGGCTTTTCTGAAGGCCTCTGCAGCTGATAACAGAGCTCTGGATCGATCCAGAGCTTTCTTATCAGCTACAGAGGCCTTCAGGAGAGCCTTGCCAGCCTTGCCAGCTGCAGAAGAAATGAGTTGGCAAGGCAGGTGTCATGGTGTGCGAGGCCTGGCTACAGCCGTCCGAAGGTAAGTAGTAGGGTAGCTCCACCCCCTCATCCCTATCCTAGTTTAATTTTTACCCATGCACTCTGGAGTGGGAGGGGGTCTTAATTATGGCTTATATTGGGTGCACGTATAAAAATAAAGCTAGGACTTACTTTCGGGGTAGGTTGTATTTTTCGGGGAAACGGTATAGAGACACAAAGACGTTCAACGGTGATGTTTCTCTCCATCTCTGCTGCAGCTTGAATCTGGACAATGCTGTAAAGAATGAAGAACTCAAGAAATGTCCCCAAGAAGTCACGGTAAGCCAGGGAGAGAGAGAATGGTCATAATTTTGATGGATCTGGTGGGCCGCTTTCCTTGATAGCTATGTTGGAATAGTTGAGAAGGACGTCAATATGCATGGATTCAATTTCTGCTGGCCGGGGAATTCTGGGAGTTGGAAGTCCACCCAGCTTAAAGCTGCCGAGTTCAAGAAGGCCTCGTGTGTTGTGTGAACTCAGCCACTCTTGATTCAGCCAAGAGTGTCTTGTCTCTCTCTCTTTTTATGTTGTGGTTTCAACGTGGTCTGTTCTTTTCGATCTTTTTTGGAGAAAGGAAGTAAAACAGCTGCTAAGATGCTCCAGGCTTGCTTTGGGCCAGTCTTTTGCATGTTCTTGACACTTGGGTCTGTTTTCTCTCTAGGCTCCCAATAAATATAATTCTCAGTATCACAAGTTATTCAAGGACATCCCCACTGAAGAGAGTGTGGTTAAAGGTAAAGAGGAAAGGACCCCGCCAAAAAAACAATTCAGGGGTGTTATCAGGTCTCTATCCCAATCTTTCCCAGCATTCTTCCTTCCAAAGGTGCTGGAAAGCCTCAAAAAAGGAAACTTAACTGGGATTCAAATCCCATCCCCTTGTCTGCCTTTCCTTTTCATTTACTAAGGCTGTCATCAGTCTCCCAGCACCTCCTTTGAACTGATGACTCCTTTTGAGGTTAAAAGCATTCCTCGCCTCCGTCTCTTTCATTTCCAGTCTGCTCCTGTGCTCTGCAGCGAGACATCCTTATCCAAGGCCGCCTCTACATTTCTCCAAACTGGCTCTGCTTCTACGCAAACCTTTTTGGGAAAGATATCAAGGTAAGCCTGGCCAGCGGTGGCGGGATTCACATTTTTTTTTTAAACTACCAGTTCTGTGGGCGTGGCTTGGTGGGCGTGCCAGGGGAAAGTGTCCAGGCTCCAGCAGTTACCCCAATTTAAATCACGAATCTTGAGCCATACTTCCAAAACTTAAAAAAAGATTTATTAGGAGTAAACATGCTGGCACTGCCTGGGTGGGAAGTCCTGACAGCTAGCCGATTCTAACTGGAGAAAATGACTGATGACTCTTGGCTAGGGATGTGTCCCATTGGAGAATATGGATTATGATACACTCAGAGGGATGGGGGAAAACCAGGGTCAAGGGTGACAATAATTTGTGTGTCTCAGAGTCGGCTGCACCCAGGCAGTGCTGGACATGTTAACTCCCAATAAATCCTTTTGAACTTTTGGAAGTTTGGCTCGAGACCCATGATTTAAATCGGGGTAACTGCCAGACTCCTGACAACAGGATGCAGTAATGGTCATAGCTGTGAAAAACGGTCCAAAGTCACTTTTTTTCAGGGTCGTTGTAAATTTGATTGACAACAGTCACTAAGTGAACTGTCGTAAGTGAAGGATTACCTGTGCCAGAGAGTGCATAATGCCAGACGTGGCACTGGAAGGCAACAATCACACTTGTTAGTTGCCCAGGGTTCAGTATGTCGAATAATCCTCTCCATAGAGCGTACGTTTCCTAAATCAACCTCTAGAATCCACTGAGATGCTGAAATAAATTTCTCCAATTGACATCCTGCGACTACTTTTTCATTTCAGGTTGTTATTCCTGTGGTCTCCGTCCAACTAATAAAAAAGCACAAAACAGCCCGGTTGTTGCCAAATGGACTCGCGATCACCACAAACGCCAGCCGAAAAGTAAGAATGGCTGGCTATTAATTGAGCAGGGGTTAGAGTGCGGTACTATGGCTGCCAGCTGCCAGCAGTTCGGCTGCTTGGTTTGGGGCCTAACATGCCTGGACCAGTGGTAGGATTCAAAAAAATTTTTACTACCGGTTCTGTAGGCGTGGCTTGATGGGCATGGTATGGCTTGGTGGGCGCGGCAGGGGAAGTTTCCTGTCCCACGCTCCTGAATGCTTCCAAAACAACTCGGGACTGGCAGCTAGACACTACAAAGGCTCCCATGCAAAATTAGTTTATTGGATTCATTAGGCATCCTCAAATTATAACTCAAAGTTATGCAGAGATTCATCCAACGTCCAACTTTCGCCCCAATAGTTGCCTCAATAGTGTGATAAGATGGTACTCTTCATCCCATAGCGTTACGGCAAAAAAACACTCCAGCATGATGCTGGGGTCCAGGTAAGAATGCCCAAAAACTCCCCCAGCCCAACCAGAGATCAATTCAGTGACCAACCAGGATTACAGATGGGACCACGTGACATGAACTACATCTCCCAAGAGGCATTAACTACATTTCCCATGAAGCATTCCCTTAAGGGGGCAGCTCTCATTCCTAAACTAACTATATGCTACCTACCCAGCACAGGAAGGATACTGCAAAATCCCCCTTCCCTCCCCACCCCACTAACCTGCTTTCCAGCTCCAATCTCCTGTGCAGGGCAACCAAAGAAGACCCAGCCAATCAGCTGGGACTCAATGGGAGGCGGAGAATAGATGGGGGCGGGGCCAGTCAGAGGTGGGATTTTTGCCGGTTCTCTGAACTACTCAAAATTTCTGCTACTGGTTCTCCAGAACCGGTCAGAACCGTCTGAATCCCACCTCTGGGCTGGACATTCATTCCCTACTTCTCACACATCCCGTGTTCTCTTTTTCTTGCAGTATATCTTCGTGTCCCTCATTTCCAGAGATAGCGTCTATGACGTCCTGCGGCGTGTCTGCACCCACTTACAGGTATGGGGAGCCCCCAGCCCACCTCAGACATGGGTCAGAAGAGGGGGCAGGCTGCCTGCAAGACTACGTTACGCACAAAAATGGACAGGTGCTGAAATATTTGCAGTGGAGGAACGGATGGTAAAGATGACTCAACTAGCAGAGATGGCAAAATGTTACTTGCTTGCTTGGAGAAAGATTAGTTAGTTAGTTTACTTTACTGTCCCTGCACCTCGTACAACGAAATTAAATGCCATCTTCAGTGTACATTATAACTATACATATAAAACACAAACACACCTCCTGATATTGCATTAATATTGTGCTATACAGTAGAATTCAGTAGAGTTACTGCTCTGGGGTAGGAGCTGTTTTTCAGCCTGTTTGTTTTTATTGTCCTGTACCGTCTGCCAGATGGTAATAGTTCAAAAAAAAAAAAGTTTAACTACATTTATTAGTGACTGGAAATCCCTGATGGACCTTTTGCTGGAAAAATAAATAAGTTTATAGATTCGATGATTATAAAGGGTAGATTCTAGAAAGAAGGGAATTATGAAGTAACCTCAGGAAGGATAAAACCTAAAGGTTCTTATGACAGCTTCTAAGCCACTCCTTTATTATTATTTTCTTCCTTTTTCTTTTATTTTCTATTTCTTTAGCTTCCTTTGCCATTTAGTTTTCCCTATTAGTTTAGATAAGACTTAATCCAGCCAAGATGCAGATCCGGCCGTTTACCGGAAGCACGTCTGCATTTTCCAGTGGAACGACTGAGAATTAACCCAGGACCTTTGAGATATGAAATAAATCTTCTACCGTAGCTCTGTTTTTGCTTCCAGGAAGACCAAAAAGGTCTGAAGAGGCATTTATTTGTTGAACTTAGCTACAAAGGAGTTATTTGAGTAGAGCCGAGCGTGATTGGAGTCTCTAGGCTTCCAGCTTGTGAAGCATGTTAGGGTCACTCTTGGCATTTATTTTCTCTACAGGTCTCCAGCAAAAAAAGTCTGAGTTTGAAAGAATTCACCGAAGAGCCAGACGCAGTAGCCTTGGTAAGATCAATTTCTGAAAGATTAAACTGCATGTTCCTTCACAACAGTGTTTTGGTCACCCAAAGGCACTTTCACCCTTCCCATCCAAGATAATGGTGGTGCAGTAGTTAGAATGCAGTATTGCAGGATAACTGCCCACAGCCAGGAGTTCGATTCTTACCAGACTCAAGGTTGACTCAGCCTTCCATCCTTCTGAGGTGGGTAAAATGAGGACCCAGAATGTTGGGGACAATATGCTGACTCTGTAAACCACTTAGAGAGGGCTCGAAGGAAGGAAGGAAGGAAGGAAGGAAGGAAGGAAGGAAGGAAGGAA